AGCATCAAATTAAATGGAAATTTGCTCAAATCAAATCTGCACCATTGCACTATGGGTAAAAAGACCGTTTTTGGTGCATAAACTCTAGTTTTTAAGATATTGACTTGAAATTTTTTTCGGTGTGTTATATGAAGTAAAATAAAATTTTGGTTTTTGTGTTTTTTTTTTCAATTTGACTACCCGCACAGTGGTTAAAAATAATTTTGTAATTATATAATTGTCAAAAATTTTAATTTCCATTAATTTGGTAATACATGCTTATACAATGCTTGAGAAAAATATAATTTACTTCAGCTATATATTTATGATCCATTGAACAACTTTTAGAGCGCTGAAAATTTGCATTTTTATAAAAACTAAAACATTTAAGCTTATAATATTTGTTTCTTCATTTATTTTAGTTATCAATTTCGTCTGGTATTTCTTCCTCTAAGTCTATTTCAAAGGTATCACTTCCATCATCGTCACCATATTCTTCATCTGTATCGTCTTCACACAAATTTTGTGAGGTACCTCCGTCTTTGTTGCCAACACTTAAGGATATGATTGGCGAATCCAAAAGATCGACAACCTCTGCTGGTAGCCTCATCCTGCCGCATCAGCCGAATCCTTAGCTCTGTGAAAAACATCTGCCATATTGTCAACCCGGCTACATTTTCTGGCATGATATTTTCTGTCAGCCTTGAAAAGTTTGTGTCTTGCTTCTGATGCACTTTCTGCTAAGGAGCCAACAGGAACAGTTGATTTTTCAATGATTATGTATCCATGTACTAAAATTTTGTGTACTGTTGGAGACATGGGCTACCAAAAGTAGTTAGCCGTATACATAGTAAAAGTTTCAAGACAGAATATTTTGAATTTCTCTGAATTTATAGGGTAATGACAATTTATGGCAATCAGAATTACGTGTAAGCGTAACCGTTTTGTCTCGGCTTGTCTACATGAAGACCCATATATTTCCAAAACGCTGTTTGAATTTTTTGTTTACGTGCCGCCAATTCGAATTTGTCATTTCCCTTGACATGCCACATTTTTAGCTCAATTCTGTAAGATAATTTGAGTAAGAATTCAAAAAATCGAATCGTATATGGCTTCATCTCAAACGTTTTGGAATAAAAATCAGTTATATTAAGAAGCTGGGTGGGCTTTGCCCCACACATTGGACACGACTGGCAGGATTTCGTTCCCGTTAATATATTTAACACCTTGCCATCGATAAGTGTGAAGTGCCCATCGAATTTTTTAAAGATTTTGTTTGACTTATCAGTATGCATGTATATATTCAGGTTTTTAATCTGATTGTCCAAGGTTTCCTTTTCTTCTAATATAAGAGACGTTGATTCTTTAACATACGCAATTTTTAGAGGACGGCAAAATCGTATGGACTGAGGTGATTTATTCAACCAGATGACTCTATGTTTTGGATCTATCATTTTTATTGGAATCATTGAGGTCACAAAAAGAGAATCATCTAAAAATGGAGACTCGGCTATGCTAAATTTTTGTTTGTATAAACTGTGACCAGTAGACCCATCGAAACCGTAGCTAAAAATTAGTATACACTGAGTAACGTCTGAAAGTATTTCACAGACTTCCTCTTGCATTAATAATATTCGGGATGCGGTGTGGTTCAACAAGCTTTGCAAGGAAACTTTGGCTTCATTTTCGGTCCATGCTATTCCAGCAGGTCTACATTTTAGTTTCTCCTCAGCTATTTTTGAATAAGGGGGGTAAATATCGCAGCCATGTTGCTTACTTAGTTGTTTTACATTTATGTATTGCTGCTTAGTCCAACCATTTTTCATAAAAAAAGCGAATGCCTTCTCAGAAGTTATTGGACTTGGATCAACCGATTCAGTCGTAGAAGTTTTTTTTATAATTTCATTTTCATTTGATTTTCTTGCTGAAATGCTAGCAGCGTGTAGTAACAAAGGAGTTGAATTTTGTTTTTCTACCGCAAGTTCAGCTGCTAACTTAATTTTTAGTCGTTTACCAGCAGCTTCATATGTCAATTTCGGACGACCTCCTGTTTGCGGGGATTCATTTCCAGCATAAAGCTCTATTTTCATATTACCGGCTAGCCATATCGCGTGTTTTTGTTTAAATCGCTTTATGTTTCGGCTGCATCTTGGCAAATTTTTATTGATGTAATAAATAAAATTGGCAATTTTATTTGATATTATCTGGTTCATTGTTTTATCAAAGCGATCGCCATTCAATTTTCCGAAAATGTAACTCTTAAGAGCTTCTCGCGAGCGGTTGTTGCTTTCCCAAACTTCGAGAAGAGCTATGTTGCTAGATAAACGAAATTTTTGCGAAAAGGAGCAAAAAGGAACAAAAATGGTTAAATGTATGATAACAAAGACACGTTTGTCTTTAACTTTTCGTTCTTACTCTTTTGCTAGTCTGTGCTAAGTGATAAGTTATACTCTACAAAACACAAACACAATTGTTAGTTCAAATCTATGGAGATACACATATAAAACAGTTCACAGTTGGACAACAAGACACATTAATGAATACATATAAATTAATTTACATTAATAAATACCTTCGCAAGGAATTTCCATTTTTAGAATTATGAAATTTATTTTGTGCACAACAAAACAATTGCGCAAAGTTTGCAAATTTTCGCGCCAATTTACCCACACTAAAAAACCTCTCAAACAGCTGACTTTGTTGCTGTGGCAACCCTACAGGGTTGGAAGGCGGTTTTTTGCAAATGAAGATATCTAGACTAGATTAATAGGGGTCATTCCTAAAAATTAACTTAAAATATAAATAGGTTTATGCACCAAAATCGGGTTTTTTACCCATAGTGCATTGGCATGATACATACAGACGCATATATTATGAGGTATCTTGCAAGAGAGTAGTACATGTTTTGGTCGCAATTCATTAAACACCGTATTAGTTACGTAGTTAGTCCCAATCTCCTTTTTGTAAAGTTCATATAACTCCTTAATCGACAGCAACATAAAGCGCTTGGACATTAATTGTCGATGGATTGATAAAGTGTCCTTCCGACCAGGAGCTTGTATACTAATATCGTCGCGAAAATGAAATTCTTTAACAAGTCAAGTTATTTTCCTTTTTTCGATCCTGAACTGATCTTTCCAAAAGATATTGAAAGAATATCTTTATACAGTAAGTCAACAATATGTGCTCTTTTCTGCGGGTCGTCTGGCAAAGCAGTTTTGATTTTCTTGAAAGCTTTCCCAAAAGTTTGCTTGCAATTGTAGGGCTGACCCAGTGGCGGAATTCACTATTTTTGCAGGTTTATTCTTCTCACTCAATCGGAATTGTTGTACCCTCAAACGAGTTTGTTCTTTTCTTTTGTCTAGTTTTTTTTTTTGTTTGCCTGATAAAACAATTTTTTAATATATTTTACCGCTCTCTCTTTTGCCTTTGCACGGACCATCTCATTTTTTCGCTAGGTCTGATTTCATTTTTTTCCTGTATCGTTTTGAGTTAATTTTCCCGTTATTAGTAGAATTCATCTGTATAACTGATAATTTATTGTAAAACCATAATAAACTAGACAGTAATAAAAATTACTTACAATCTGGCGTGACGTTACACAATTTAGAAAATTGATATAAAATATAGTAACTGTAGCGTCCTCGCGATGTTTGTTGAAATGTGTTTCTTAGTTGAAGCTTTGTTATGTCGCAAACTTTTATCGACTTTTGATCATGTAAGGTAGTCTTTTCGAAGGCTGAGGTAAGCTCAGCCTCTCCAGGGCCACCTTACAAAGAAATTTGTAAATGGAGACGCCGTGTGTGGAAAGGTGGGCGTATGGGGCGAAAAGGGAACCTGATCGACACCGGTCACCCGGTGGTTAGCGGAGGCGCCTTCTGACAGTGTAGCCGCCCCTGTCTGCTCCGACTCGAGTGCCCCTGGTTGTACCTAGAAAGCACCCGTTCCGGAGACAGGCACGCGCCGTTTGGGAGCCCGCGGTCTGGCGCGGTAATGACCTGCGACCAGCCCAGCGGAGCCTCCAACGGTGGGCGACCACACTTACCGGCTTGCACTTTGGGAGGGGGAAAGGGTTAAATTTACACTGTTACACACGAGCACATTGTTTAGTTTTGTTTCTTTTATTCTTTTCTTAGTTCTTGTCTTTTTCCTATCTTAGCGTCGAAATTACATTTCCTACGTCCCTGCCTATTCGCACCAAACTAAGCCATGAAGGAGAAGGAACGTGCGAGTCGCTTCTGGGGACGCCACTCTACTTATACCCGTACTAAGTCAGTATATACATTTTTGAGCATATGATTTTTTAGAATTTTAGAATTAAAAAAAAAAATGTACATTTTACATTTTTTTGCTACATCTGTTATCAACATCTACATATATTATGTATATTCTACATCTAACATGTAGATTGTACATGTTCCATTCATATTCTACATCTCCTCCGCTAGGGGTTGCTCGCGCACTGAACGCGGCAGAGTGTGCGAGCGAGAAGGAAAATGAGTTGCGTTGTCGTGGGTGGGAGGGGGAGGGGAAGCAACTGAAAATTAATTTCTTCATTCTGGCTATCATTATGATCCGATCTGATTCAGATTCGGCAGTCTGGTAGATATGGGCATTCTCTACGATACTGCGTTTTTAGTTTTATCGTATCTTTAAAAATGTGCCTGCCACAGATTTTCGTCTTTTGTGTGGGCGGAAGGGGGCGGGGCGAAATTTTGAAATACACTTGTAGCAGTGTGATATCACATGAGTGTGGAAACCAAATTTGGTTGCCCTAGCTCTTATAGTCTCTGAGATCTAGGCGCTCAACAAGACGGACAGACAGACAGACAGACAGACAGACAGACAGACGGACAGACGGACAGACGGACAGACAGACATGGCTCTATCGACTCGGCTATTGATGCTGATCAAGAATATATATACTTTATGGGGTCGAAAACGTTTCCTTCTCTGCGTTACACACATCCACTTTTACCACAAATCTAATATACCCTTTAACTCTTCTTTGAGTACGGGTATAACAAATACATGAAGTTGCCAGATACTTCAAAAAAGATCAAATATTCGAAATGAACAGTTAATTGGATCTATTTGCAATCAAAGCAAAAAAGGGAAAACAAAAAGAACGGAATGGAGGCAATAAGGGAGTATTTTTTAAAAAGCGAAAATTTTGGGCACCGTCCTGCCGATATTGAATACGCAATACGGTTTGTTAATTCTGAATACAGGCACACACAGGGGTGTACAGTAGAAAACGTAGAGATATTGCGTACATTCTCGCCGTTCTTCGTCACATACGACGAACTGCACGTGAGACAGTTTGAAACAGGTGTAAGTATGATGTTATTTAAGCATGTTGCAATTTACTATCCAAAATATGTTTTCCAAAATAGCGTGGCATTCCTTCCAAAATTAAAATGCTGGTAATTGCGGCCCATACTGCTGAGCTGGACAGCCGTTTTGCAGTGCTCCACATTGCGGTGGTAAGTGAAAGCAATTTCATGTCTGGAAAAGTGTATAAAAATATTTGTATTTAACAGGCAGTCACAGAAGACACGACCATGGGCAAGGACAAGATACAGCTCCATGTGCAACGTGTGCTGGACCGCATAGGAGGCATGAAGGAGAATGGTATAACCTTTTCCAAAAAAGTACTAGGGGTCATCAGCGACGGCAATGCTGCAAATGCAAAAGCAGAATTTCACACATACCACTACGCGCATTTGCCGGTGCTGCGGGACTATATACATCTAAAAAATAATTTGGCAGAGCGGTACCGCTATACAGACCGAGTATTGCGGAGGGTATATATGAGGAGCATATTCAAGAAGAGTACTTGGCAATCGGTGTTGGACCAGGCAGATGCGGCTGCAGCGCTGTCTCCTCACCGGGAGTACAAGGAGAGGCAGTTGGCCAACTTACGATTGGTTCTGGAAAAGTTTTTCGGACTGTGCCCATCGGACCAAATCAGCCTGCACAATGTCAATACGGATGAGTTGGAGGTATTCCAAACATGCCTGCAGGGGGAGATTAGCTTGTTGGCAGCCGGGTACGTACCGGAGCTTCGGAACAGAGAGACAGCGCCAATATTTCTGGCCCAATTTGCAGGAGTGTATATGAAGCTGCAAGACATTAGGTAGTATTAGTTAGTAGTTAGGTAGTTAGGTAGTTTTAATCCAAATAAATAAACTCAAAAATTTATGAACATGATATTGTTTATTGGTGTGATTGATTATGCTTGATTGATTATGATTATTGCTCGGCCTCGGCCTCAGCCTCGGCGCGGGCCACCTGCACAGCCCAACGCTCATGGGACACAGGCTCATCATCGTCAGGACGGGCATGGATGAGTCGAGCTGCTTGGATGACAGGGGCGGCGGCTCGGACGACTGGAGCGGCTTGGATGACAGGGGCGGCGGCTCGGACGACTGGGGCGGCTTGGATGACAGGGGCGGCGGCTCGGACGACTGGGGCGGCTTGGATGACAGGGGCGGCGGCTTCGGACGCGGGGGCGGCCTTCGGCCGGGGCCGCCTCCCTCCTCCCGCCCCCCCCCCTTCCCCCCCCTTACCGCGTCCAACCATTTCCCGCCTTCCGCGCCCACGTCCACGTCCACGTCCATTCAATCCTCCGAATTGGTTTGCGTTCAAAAATTTGCAATGTTCATCTGGCTCAGCCGGTTTGATTCCGCTTGCGCCGTGTTCGCGCGCAAAGCGGCGGCCCCGGCGGCGGGGCCCGCCCCCCGCCCCCCTTCCCCCCCCCCGTCCCGGCCTCGCCCCCCTCCTTCTTTTCCCTTTTTTTTTTTTTTTTTTTTTTTTTATTAAATAAATAAAAAAAATAAAAATTTAAATTTTTTTTTTTTTTTTCTTTTTTTCTCTGTCCCCACCCCTTCCCCTTTTTTTTTCACACATCTTCTCACACCTTTTTTCTTTTTTTTTTTTTTTTTTTTCGCTTGCGCCGTGTTCGCGCGCAAGACCGCCTTCCGGCCCGGGTAAGGGCCCGCCCGCCCCCCCCCCCCCCCCCCCCCCCCCCCCCCCTTCCCCCCCCTTTTCCCCCTTTCCCTTTTCTCTTTTTTCTTTTTTTTTAATAAAAAAAAAAAAAAAATTAAAAATTTTTTTTTTTTTTTTTTTTTTTTTTTTCGCTTCTCCCCCCCTCTGCCCTTTTTTTTTTTTTTTTTTTTTTTTTTTTTTTTTTTTTTCTTTTTTTTTTTTTGAAATGTATATACATACACATACACATATACTTTTTAAACCGTTACGTTATGCCGTATGTGCATGTACGAGTATATACAAAGCAAGGCGCTGAAATTTATATACACACACATACAAGTTAACACTCCCCACCAGCTGCAGGGTATCAGCGGAATTCCAGAAGTGGAAGACCTCTGATGCTGACTCAAGTGGACGGGGGTCCTCAAGTTACATTGTTGCATAAACATCCGCTGGAGAGCGGACCGTCGGCTCGAGGCGCTGAGGTTGCAGAACGTCGGCCCGCTGCATGGGCAGCGCTGCCGTCTGGGGGGCAACTTTAAGAATATCATTTTATATTTCATTTCTTGTACTTCAGATTTAATCTCATACTTGACCGAGCCAGTCGTGCCGGTAATAAACTTTAAAACGTAATCTCGTCTTTCCTTGCCGGTGGCCGAGCCCCGGTACATATAAACGGGATAAATAATATTTAATTGGCGCCCAACGGGTCAAAAGAACCCAAGTTAACGCGAGTATAAAAAGTGCTGAAGAATTCAACAATCAAAAGAAAATTCGAAATAAATAATAAAAGTGGAAAACATACCAACGAGTGCATCTCATGTTTTTACTTGTGTCAGTGAAATAAGAAAGATACCCCTAGTGGCCCAAAAGAAAATCTCCCGGTGGGAACAAACAAATCAACAAAAAAAGAATGAAAAATTAAAAAAGAAAATAAGTGAGAAGTTTTTTTTTGTTGTCAAACCCTAGTGGCCCTTAAAAGAAAAAAGCTCCCTGTGGGCACAAACAAATCAACAGAAAAGGAATGAAAAATTAAAGAAAAAATAAGTGAGAAGTTTTGGTTGTCAAACCCCCCCGCCCAAAAAAATACATCAGTGTGTGCAAATTTTTTTTTGTTCTTCGCCAAAACCAAAAGGGCTACTGAAAAATACTTCTGTTTCATGTGCGCTACAACCAAGCATTAAGAAAAAAAAAAAAAAAAATTATTACAAAAAAAACACCCAACTACGCGGGAGCTGACACCAGAGGAACAAACACAAGGAGCTGTAGGGAAATCCCTCGCTTCCACCCAATATCTACGAAGGAAAAAATAGGCTGAAGGGCCCTCCCTCGCCTCACCTTACCAAAAATCAACAAAAGTCTACGCGGGCTGCAGGGAATTCCCTCGCCCAGCCCAACCATCTCAGCGTGAAAGGCTCCCGACGCTCAACCGAAGACCAATAGGCAGGGGCTAGATCAGACTCCCTTCACCCTACAATCAGAGAACATGTAAGTGAATTTTTCATGTGTTAACATTTCCTATGTCAGTGATAACGCAATAAGTATCGATAACAGCGAAAGATCCGCTATTTTTGGCAAATTTTGGTCAAAATTTAAAGTAAACCGCGAATGAGCAAACACCCTTCGACCCGCGTTTTTAAGAATTAGGAACGTAAGATAAACCTTTATAGGGTAGTTCTGCCGAAACAAATCGCACCACATGAGCCATAGGGAGGGCGACAGCGACAGTGACGATAGCCTTAGTTCCCTCATAGAGGGGCTCGATTTAACAGCACTGGACAGTCGACCAGCAAAAGAAAAACCAAAAGACATGGACGTGACGTCATTCAACAATGCCTTACAGGCCGCATTAGATAATCAAGCCAAAGGTTTTCAGGCTCACTTAGAGCGACTACAAGACGAGGTGGCCCAAGCAAACCAGGCTGCAGCCCAAGCAAACCAGGCTGCAGCCCAAGCACAAGAGGCTGCAGCCCTAGCGGGCCAAGCTACTGCACTTCGTGCGGAAATGCTCGCACTGCGGGAACAAGTTAACCAATCGAGCGCAGGACCATCTGTGCCGGTAGTAGAGGTTTTTAAGAGTGCGGAAATTCTTCCCGGGGTCCAATGCGATCAGTGCTTGGACATGGTCAAGTCTTTACCAGACTTTGACGGCAAACAGCTGGAATACGTCGGTTGGCGCCAGGCAGCTATGGCCGCGTATTCGGTGTTCGAGCCTTACCAAGGCAGCTCCAAACACTTCATGGCCACGGGCATCATTAGGAATAAGGTTAAAGGAGCAGCGAACAATGTGTTGTCGTCCTTCAACACAGTGCTCAATTTTAAGGCCATAATAAACAGGCTAGACAGCTCTTATTCAGATAAGACGCCTGTAGGGGTGATCCAGCAGAGGCTGGCAACCATGAGACAAGGGAACCTGTCTCTAACTGACTACTATGACGCAATAGAGAAACAGGTCTCCCTCATCACCAACAAAAACGTGATGATGCGCACCGCAGAAGCAGCGGATGTGCTCAACCAAAAAGCTAGGGAAGACGCCTTAGAGGTGTTCATATCAGGTTTGAGAAGGCCCCTGAAGGCAGCAGTCTTTCGGCGAGGCCAAAGGATTTGCCAACCGCACTGGCCTTAGCCCAGTCGGCGGAATCCAGCGAAGATCGCAGCATTCTGGCTGCGAACTACGCAAAGGCCATAGAAGAAAAATCCTTCCGAACAGGCGAGCGCAATTACCAAGCGCCACAACAGGGTAACGGGAGGCAAAACAGACCGCAAGACCCAAATTCGTTTAAGAGCCCTCATTATGTTAGGAGCCAGGGCAACTCGAATCAACAACAAAGAGCTACGGGCCAGGCCCCCGAGCCAATGGACGTAGACCCTTCATCCTCCAAATTTAGACAGGCCACGGCTTACCAAAAGCCAGGGGGGACGGGTAAGCGCGACAGCGGTTTCGGAAGAAAACCAAATTCGTCAGAGCGCACGTCAGGAAACTGGCGGCAGAGGGTGGAACACATTGCCACCTCAAGTGACCGGTCCCCGGCGGCCTACACTGAGGCCGCCGCTGAGGCGGTCGCAGAAATAGAGGCCGACGCCGAACTCGGATACGAGAGCGACTCGGTTAATTTTTCAGGGGATGCTCCTGCTGCCATTCGTTTGGCGGAAAGTAGCAGGGGTCAACATAAAACTTCTGATCGACACGGGTGCGTCCAAAAATTACATCAAGCCATTCATGTGGCTTCCTGGCGTTACCCCGGTTGAATCACCGTTCCCCGTTCACTCTATTAACGGGTCCAACAACATTACACAGAAATGTCCCCTGTCAATATTCGGCAAAATCACGCCTTTTTTTCTACTAAAAACATTAACAACCTTTGATGGCATCATTGGCCTGGACCTGCTCACGCAGGTAGGGGCCACGCTATCTCTGAGAAATGGAACGCTCACTTTCGGCAACACAACCGAGACAATCAAGTTCCATGAGTGCACAGATGTCAACCATACTAACGTTGTTGACATCGACGCACCTGCTGCCATAAAGGCAAGCTTCATGCAAATGCTGAAGAAAAGAAACAAGGCCTTCGCCGACCCTAACGGGTCGCTGCCCTATAACACTTCGGTCGTGGCCACTATTCGCACAGTGGACGACGAACCAATTTATTCCAAGCTTTACCCCTACCCGATGGGTGTAGCTGATTTTGTCGATGCCGAGGTTAAAAGCCTCTTGAAGGACAAAATCATACAGAAATCAAGGTCGCCATATAACAACCCGATATGGGTGGTCGACAAAAAAGGCACTGATGAGAAGGGCAATAAGAAGAAACGTCTCGTAATGGACTTTCGGAAGCTCAATCAGAAAACGATAGCCGACAAATACCCCATGCCATGCATCTCAATGATATTGGCAAATTTAGGTACTGCAAAGTACTTCACTACTCTTGACCTGAAATCCGGGTACCACCAAATAACTTTGGCGGAACGCGACAGGGAAAAAACTTCCTTTTCCGTAAATGGAGGGAAGTATGAGTTTTGCCGACTGCCCCTCGGTCTAAGAAATGCTGGCAGCATTTTCCAGAGGGCAATCGATGACGTTTTGCGCGAACAAATCGGCAAAACATGTTATGTTTACGTCGATGACGTAATCATATTCTCCAAGTCTCAGGACGA